TTCACTATTTCTCTGAGATATAAAGAGGCTTCCCTCTTTTTATCCCCTCTACAATTCCAAAAGATAATCGACTCCATATTAAGAAATAATATGGGAATGATCCCCTACTATTTTGCAATGATCTATGACAATTCTTCTCTTCCTTTGAGTATTTTCCAAAGGTCCTAAACATCTAAGTTCTTTGGATAATTTACCTTTCACAGAATTTGACAAACCTATTGTATGCTCCTCCCTTATCTGTTCAGCACTACTATCCTGCAATTCAAGAGAACCAACAGCCTCATCTGAATCCAAATCATTAGATTTACCAGAGATCTTCACATTCATCCTTTCAGCAATCTCTCCCTCCTCTACATCACAATCCAAAACTTGGAATTTATTAACAGCAATTGGAATTTCCTGAACTTGAACTGCAACATCTTGAGTCTCCTTCGCTGACTCTGTTTGGACTGACATTTTTTCGGTAATACAAACCTCCTTCACCTCAGCAGCATTCCCCTGTTTCAATATAGCAACAGGTTTATAAACCTTTTTAATAGAAGTATTAACACCAATGTTTTTTTTGGCATTTTTGAATCTTCTATTGTTAAACTTAACATGGATCCAAGACCCATATTCTTCAACATTCTTCTTAACCATATCAGATTTTACTTCCCCAACCTGATTTACAAAATCTCTAGGACCTTTATCTTTCAAATCAGTTTTAGTAACAACAATAGAATCAGGACATTCATCTTTGCTATGACCAACTCTACCACATTGGTAACAAAGAGAAGTTAATTTTTTGTATTCCACCCGTTGAAAGGATCTTCCGTGAATACCCTCTATCCAAACACCTGTAGGGAGCTTTTTTTCCAGATCAACGTGAACGCAGCATCGAGCATACTCCCTCTTTCCCCATTTGAATGAATTTCCATCCAACATCAAAGGAGTACCTATCATTGAGGCAATGATAGGGATATTGTCCTCATCCCAACAGCTCAATGGTAGTCCTGGGAAGCGGATCCAAACTGGTGATGTGATTCCTTTAAGCAAATCAATGGAGAAAGAAGGCGACCATCTGTCCATGCCTATGATGTGGTTTCCAATGTACCAAGGGCCCCATTCAATACTTCTTCCATGGATTCCTGATTAGCAAACGAACACAGAATCCAATTATTACCCAACGTCGTTAGATGGAAGCTACTATATTTACTC